ATGACAATCATCACATGTAAACTCAGAGTGGCTTATTCTCCTTGCTTCCCCAATAGATGACAACTACTGTAGGCTAAGCCCCTATGACAGGGACGGAGGAATTGAAATCAGGGCCACCCCGCATTACTGATGGCCCCAGTCAAGCTGAAGGATTTTTTTTGCCTATTTTGCTGCTCTCTCTATAGCTTTCAGTGTGGGTTAAAGAAGCCACAGAGCAGCCCTAATTCAGTTGCAACAGCCTTCCAAGGGCTATTCAGCAACTACAAGCAAAAGCACAGCAGCATTGTATCCTCTTCTTGAACAACTCCAGCAATGGAGATTTTACGAATTCCCTAGGAAAACTATTCCACAGCCTCACCGTTTTAACAGTGAAGAAGGTTTTCCTGATATCCAATCTAAACCTACTTTGCTACAATTTAAAGTCATTGGTCCGCATCCTACACTCTGCAGAAAGAGAGAAAAGTTTTCTTTCCTCTTCTTTATGGCAGCCCTTCAGATATTTGAAGACTGGTATTTTACCTCCCCCTTAAGCACTTATTGTGCAAGCTGAACATGCCTATTTCCTTCAACCCCTTGCCTTTCAAGCCTTTCATCATTTTTGTTGTCTATCTCTGGACCCCTTCAAACTTCTCCATGTCCATTTTAAATGTGAAGCCCAACGCTGCACACAACATTCTAGATGAGGCCTTTGTCCTGAACCTAATGCTTCCATAAGGCCTACATATGTTACAAACACATAGGTAGCTTGCAAGGCCAAAAGGCTGAAGCGTCCAATTTTCTTCATAGTAACCAAATTACAAAGGAATTTACTGTTAAAGTCTGTGGAATTGCCAAAGAGAATTTGAGAACGACATAGTTTTGCTTTTCACTCTGAGTTCTGCTCCCATCAGAATGTGCAGAATCGAATCAGAACTCAGGACAATAAAATATTCAAGGCTTCACGGGGGAAATTGAAATTCAGCTGCCTTCTTCCCTCTCTCTACAGTTCTTCATAACTATTCTTACTCACCCAATTGTTGTCTATATTGTAATTATTTTTATGTCTTAAAAGTGTTTTTCTATGCGTTCTAACATTTTATTTCTAGTAGCACTACGTTTCCACCAGGTAGTAATAAATAGTAATAAAACCTAGTACTCTAACATGGTCATATTTTACAGTGGCTCCTGGCAGCACAGTATTAGGTAAGGGTCTGTCAGAAGTTCTACATAAACCACAGGTTGAGAGGTTTATTCCTCAGCATCAAATCAAAACTCAAGCTAGGAATGATAGCCTCTAGATTTCCTTTGCTTTTCCTCCTTCACATCCAGCTCTCAGAATTATTTACTATCATTTTATGTAATAACAGTAATATTGTATTCTTATAAACCAGTGGATGTAACACAGAAAAAGTAACTAGTTAAATGTCCCTGAACATGTGAGTCTATTATTTGAAAAGGCAACTTAATGTTATGACAAAATACATTGTAGTTTACTATTGCTCAGTCAGCTTCTGAAAAATAGCAGAAGAACACAACAGCAAAGATACTCCAAGACTGGACAAGGGTAAATAGATGCACAGTGTACAGAACTGCTGTGTGGGGTCATTTAAACCATTTTAAATATACCATTAAAGAGAAATCTTTGAAACAGAAATAGTGACAGACATGTAACTGAAGCTATAAAATGATACTTTAATTTTTAAATGATTTCCGGACTTCTTTTTGACATCTGATGCCACAGAGATATATGTTGATTATAGCGTCTTAGATGTATGTTGAACTAAATCAATGAGTAGACTATTGCCTAGTCCTACTGAGATGCCCTTCCTTGATAAGTAGAGGAAGTGACCCTAAAAGGCAGTTACCATAGGTGTAATTCCATAAGCTTTCCCTGCACCTGACCAAAGTTAGAGCAGTGATTCTCAACCAAGGTGCCATAAGATCTTTTTCAGGGTGTCATCAGATGCTGCACAATATCAGAGCTGTTAGAGGTGCAAAACACATGGTTCACAAGATGAACCCAGAGACTTCAAAGTAGAATCCATAGTGTCATTTACCGTAAGCAGCTCTGAGCCTTCTGGATAAGGCAGGGTATAAATAATAACAGTAACAGCAATAATAATAGTGATACTAACAATGATAAAAACAGCAATAATGATAATTATAACAGCAACAGCAATAATAATAGTAATAATGATGATGACGATAAGCATTCTGACTTGCTGTGGTCTTTTTGAGTTCTTTGCAACAGAATAAGTGCTCTATTATTTGCTCTATTATTGTCCTATAGTAAAACAATGAGTGAAAGGTGAGCTGACATTTTCTGAGAGGTGCCTAAAATCTAACAAAGGGTGCCTTGAGTCTAAAAATGCTCAGAACCACTATATTAAAGAAATCCTATGACCCATATTGCATAAGTACAAAACAACCAAGGATGGAAACACATTATAGAAAACACTGGAGCTTATGTTAGCAAAAATAGGATGCATGATTCTTCCATCTGCGCTCCTCTAGCAATGCTAGCTGTGGTAGAAACCGGCTCAGTTCCCCATCCTCTTCACAGCCTGCTGAATCTGAGTCCATCTGAACTCTCCTTACACCATCTTGCTACCCCTGAGGATGCAAACCAGCAGTGGCTTCAGCAGAACAGTCTACCATGCTTTTCTATAATGCCCTTTGAATTGGCCATATGGTTTGGTCTGGCCTGCAGGGGAGGGGCTGGTTGGACATTTCCTACCCGAACATTTTTCCAGTTGGTAATGCCAATTTGCAACAAGGAAACTTGCAAAGAACCAGTTTTCCAACTATTTAGTTGGTCTAATAAAAGATATTATATAATAAGATATGTTGAAGTTTTAATCTTAAAATTTCAATATCTTTTAAATGTCTAATAAAAGATGTCAAAAAACCTTTCCTGCCTGCCCTTAGACCCATAGGTGACTGGTAGGGGAGGCACAGGGGGCACGTGCCCCCCCCCCTAAGATTGGCCCCCAACTCGGCACTGCTCAGGACAGGGCAGTTTTTTTGCCACACAGGCTGGCAGCTTGTTGGGGGGGCACTAAGCCGTGGCATAGAAGTATAGGAGTGGATATGAGGCTTTTGTCCCACCCACAAATTGTG